AATACACCCTAGAGCCACATTCATATTAATACATGTTATATCTTACTAGACCCTTTTCCCCACATCCCACCATATTTTTGCTAATCACGTGATCATTTATAAAGAATGATTCTGAACAATTTAACTGATCTCCAATTTCTAATTCCAGAAAAAATTAGCATGGAAAAAAGTTAAGATCTAATATCACCACTGCTTGATATCAAGCTGGCCATGATGCGTATCAAACCCAAAACTAGTGATTTTGCATTAAAAACAGCTTTTTAGCTTACCACCATTACATGTTGGAAAAGTAAGTGCTCGTAACTACGTCCTAAGCTTCTACGATATTTCTGAATATGACATTTTCGGCATCAAACAAAATTATGCTAATGAACAGCATATAAATAATGTTTGATACAACTTATCTTTATACTGTTTCTATTTTCTTTATTTAACCTTTAGCCTTCCTTTTTAGCCCTCCTGATTTAACCTTGGAACTTGGAAGACCAACTCTTCAATTTACTACCATATTTTGTTATATATTTGATACAACTTCTCTTTATCTCAAATTAATTGTAAATTTTAGCCGCCCAAGTTATTCGATTCGATGCAGTCGTGTGAGTACTATTTTTCTTCATGTGAATGAACATATATAACATGTTCACGAGTTCATTTCATGCTTTACGAAGAAAGATCATGGACCTACAAAAAATGCATACTTGCATGCCTGCACTTAGTAGAAGGACTGGTCACCATATCGAATAATAGACAACATAAAATGATATACTCTGTGGATTGGCAATATATGGTGTCATACATTAATGGTTTTCAGTTGAGAATATAGATGGCAATGTGAAGCAATGCAAAAATTCCTGTTTATGACTAGCGCCTATACTATAATAACGCGCCTTCGACATTATCTGTCCATAAGTTACATAGGCGTTTCCATTACCGTTTGAATTGAAATGCTTTTAACTATGAATATCTACAGAGGTACTTGTTAATAAATGATTGGAAAAATAAATTGAAATATATGTTAATAATAATAAATACTTATTCTAGCATATCCTGTTCGTAGAGGCGATAATGTAAAATGCACTTTTATTGATTGCCAGGAAGATAGATCTACATTGGTGGTATATTTGGTGCTAAAAATTACGAATGAACAAGGCTTTTGATCAAGATTTGTTATAGGTTAAGCCAATGTTACATCAGAAATACTTTTTTTTGTTAATCCAGAAATGTATTTTAATGAGGAATTTTATGTCAAATATTTCTCAAAAAAAAACGAAAAATTATTATTATTGTTATAGTTGCAGCAATAACTGTTTGAAGGAAGGTTGGCTCATTAGAATATTACACCCGAAGATTAAAAGAAGAATGAAGAAATAAAAGAAGATAGGAGTTTAATAGAATAAGAAGTTAAAAGATAGAAGAGAGAGAAGAATGATGAAGTGAGATAGAACAGAATTAGAAGTTAGAAGAAGAAGCAAAATTAGAAACATAAGAGAAAGAAGGAAAGAAGAATGAAGAAATAAAAGTAGGAATTTAATAGAATAAGAAGTTAAAAGATAGAAGAAGATTAGAAGAGAGAGAAAAATGAAGAAGTGAAATAGAACATAATTAAAGAGTTAGAAGAAGAAGCAAAGTTAGAAGGAGAAGAGAAAGAAAGAAAGAAGAATGGAGAAGTCGGTTATAAAGAAAATGGGATAGCATAAAATATATAAAAACAATAGCATATGATATAATAAAGATAGTATGTGTTATAATAAAGACAGTATAAAATATAAATAGAAAGTTGTAGGTATGGCTAAATGCTCTATGTAAGCAATGTCAAACTAACTTGCTAACAACTACGATAGTAATAAAATCTTTGTTTTTTACATCAATTTTAATGAATTGTATTTCCTATTAAGAAATCCAAAGAATAAAATCATCTTTTCCACAATTGCAACTGAGGTCAATAAACCTGGTACACAAGTACATATCAATTTTTCTTTTGTTTCAAAGTAATTCTACTATTGTTTTAAAATGCAACTTATCTGTAGATAATATTGTAAAAGAAATATAGTAATTTAATATGTGACAAATATTTCGAAACAGGTTCATGTCCTATGAATAATGGTGCTATTGTACTTCTTTGTATCATGTTATACATACGTAATGAGAAAGAATAATTTGTTTTCATTTAGGACTGTACTTAAAAAGTAAACATTTGACCAACAGAATGAAAACAGAGTTACAATAAAACGACACGTACATCTTTAAATAAATATCAACACGGGTTTTCTCACGGCACAGATTTCGTATCATACAATGTAGAATTATCAATGTTGGGCAAAATGAGCTATGCAAATAAATTGAAAGTTATTTGCTTTTTAATTAGATTTTTTAGTAGACAACAATCAGAACTATTTGTTCTATAAGTTGCTGTAATGTATATTTCTTAATATGGAGATTGAGGAGGTTGACCCAGGTCAACCAAGTGGTTGACCATTCTCTTTCTGATAAAATCATATGAAAGAACACATGTTTATAAATTATTAAATTTTTGGTTTCCAAAAAAATGTTATATGTATCTTCCCCCTCCCCCGAGGGGGCACGACCCAAAAGTTGGAAACCACTGCGGGCACACATTGAGTACCATCAAAGGTTTTGTTTCAATGAAACTTTCATTTGCAACAATTTTACCGGAGCACGTACAAGGTTTTAAAACAGCAGGTGGTTTACCTGTACATTTTTTTTCATAACTTTTGCTTTTAGCACGCAAACTGATTTTGTTGCTTGAGAAATATTCTTTTCTACTTCTGAACAGCCAAGGTTATAAAAATAAAAAATACAAGTTAATAGTTCTTTTATAGAGTGATACATTCATCGCTGAATTAAATTATGTTAATGTATCACAGTTCTGGTTTTGTTAAAGTTATATGACAAACTTTTATTTGCAGGAATTATATTACAAAAAGTACTGAATAAACATAGAAAATGCTATTTGTTATTTATATATTCTGAGAAGGCTTCATGTTTTTCTGAGTAGGTATTGTATATCGAAGCATCTTATACGTTTCTCAGAAATGTGGTCGCAAAAGAATTTGCTCAAGTGTCATGTTCAAAGGGAGAAATCTTACCAAGAATATTATTTCTTATTTCTATAATTATCTATAAACGTTTTATATTTATAGCAAATTATATCGAAGGATTTGACATTGATTTGTAATGCATAATCATGAGAGAACTTTCATTGAATGTATTATATGGTGTTGATGCAATATTCTAAAATAGGCCATAAAACCGATTATGATATAATTATGATCCATGTCATAATCAATCTGTAGACAATCGTATCAGAATTTCATTCTAGTAAACAAAGTGATGTACATTGATGAACTAATGTGTAGAAATAAGATTTTCACATGATATCCAGTAGTAGTCATTTTAAATTTGAAAATTAATGAAGATACAGAGAAATAATACTTCCAGATAAAAATCATGAAATTAAAAATTATACATATATTTGATCTTACACAAAAGCTTTTCAGTCATTTTAGGCCTTATGTGAAAGTTAAGTTCTTAACTTGTTAAATCTGGAAAGGTTCGTTCTTTTAGAATTTTGGACATGTTTGAGGAGAGTAGGCCTTCAGCAAGTTGATTTGGATAATTCTGGAAGATGTGAAGAAGTGAATGGATCTAATAATTGGCCATACAAGAAAATTTGGACCATTTTAGGCCATATCGAATAAATTATAAACGTACATATTTGTCTAAATAACATTCTATAAGAAATCCAGATGTTACGTTCCGCAATACATTTACGTTCAGTAAATGCAATGGGTTTTGGGCCAAACAAAATCTTACTGTTTGCGGTATGATTTTTCGATATCGCATGAATTTTAACAGTGCAAGTTGATTAATTGATCTTACAAGATATTTGGGCCATTTTTGGGCCAAGCAGAAACCATGGTAGGATAAAATGCAAATTTTTTATATAGTCTAAATTGTCGATTTTATATAAACAACATGAATGCACAATAAACTAAAAAATCCAATCGTTACATTTCCAATAAAATAATAGGTCTAATAATTGGTTATAAACGAGCTCATGGGTTATTTCAGGGCCAAGCAGAATCTTTCTTTAGAATAAAGTAGGAATTTTTGATATTGCCTTAATTTTAACAGTGCAATTGGCACAAGAAGGAACCGTGTACAATAAAAGGAGAATGTTTTATATAATCTAAATTGGCGATTTTACTATAAATAGCATACAATATACTAAACTAAAAGTCCAATTGTTACATTCCCAGTAAAATAATAGCTCTAATAATTGTTCATTATGGGTTATTTCAGGGTCAAGCTGAATATTTCGTAGAATTATTTTTGTATGAATTATTTGTAGATCATTTTTGTGTGAATAATTTTAGGGCCAAGCAAATTCTTGCAAAATACAGTTTGGACTTTTGTTATCGCGTAAATCTGTAAAGAGTTTGTAAATACAATATGCGGAACGGATGTTTGTATAAATAATATGCGGATTTTTGATATCACATGAAACTAAAAAGTATATAAATACTTGGTCTTACAGAGGCTTTTCGGTTATTTTAGGCCTTAATGTGAAACAACGATTAAGTTCTCCTAATTACCATGGCCAAACAACAAAAAGTCCAAATGTCTTTCTAAGTATACGTGTTTGGTTTCGATACGATCTAATAATGACTAAAGTTTGTCTACTATAAAAAAGCCGATGCGATCCTGTCAAGGATCAACCGACCGACAAAGAAGCCGTTGCGCAAGAGAAATCTCCAGCCCAAGGACTCGGGACTCAGGAGATAAAAATATAAGGAATAATAATAATAATAATAATAAATAAATAATGGGTGTGCTGCCCTAGGGTAGGTCCGTGAGCTGAGTTAAAACTCCAACTCAATTCAGGGAAGAATAGTGTGAGAGATTTCCCATTGCCATTTCACACCGCAGTGCCCCAGAGAAGCTTATTTTCAATTGGAAACATATTTTGATTTATATTTTCAATTGAAAATGGACATCGCGCTGCCCGATTGTCCATACAAAGTCAAGGTGTTAATAACGACCTTCGCCACGACGAACCCGAATAATAATGTATAAATATATTTCTTCCACTTACGGACTGGGACTTTCTTCGGGTCGTATCCTCTGACGGCCACCTCGATGGCGTCCATGCGCGTCTTGAGCGCCTTCGACCGTTCCCCGACATCATCCAATTGCACCGTGAGTTCGGCGAAGACATCGGTTGCGGCTAAGACCAAAGAAGCCAACTGTCTCAGAGCGTTGCTCAAAGTGTTATTGGCGACGGCTTGCAATTCATCGTCTTCCACTAAATTTCTGCCTCTTTCATCCTTTAAACTCGTTTTGCTCAAATCGCGCGGTTCGACGACGCGCTGCACGAAAGGCATAATTGGGAAAAGGAAAGGAATCACTTTAGGAGGAAGGCATCACTAACACTTTTTTGGGGATTCCACCACAAACATTGCGAATTAACGCAAGACACCGGGCCGGCACATTTTTGTTAACCGATGTTGCACAGAAATACAAATATTAAGGTAAACAATTCTTGAGGACAATTGGTCTTAACACTTGAAAACATTTTGTTTAAAAATAAATTTTTTTAAAAATTCAAAACAAAATTCGTTTGTTCGTTATTAATTACACACTTTATTCGATATACACTATCATCACTAGTTACTTAAATTTTAATTTACAAAATATTTCATTTATCCACACATTATCGTAATATTTATTCGTTTTTCGAAATTCGTCACAACAAACCGTCCGCACGTCAACGCATTCAGCGTTGGAATGCCGCCACACGACTTTTCGTAAACCGCACACACATGAAACCACACGATTCCATATACAAATGCTGCCGTCTGCAACCGAACACGTCCGACAAGGTTGATGGCGTAGATTGATGGGCATTACCATTTAACTCCGAGAGATTAGACTAGATGGTGCTCTGATTTTAGTAACGCGATATATTTTGAATACAGAAGCCCTTGCATAACACGGATTTGCTGTAACGGTTCGAGAATTGGGACCACCCCCTTATAACACGGTTGGAATTGAAAATTAACTATCTGTAGGTGGAATTCTGTCTTAAGGCAATTAAGGCATCGTGCCTTACGGTAAATTGCTGGAACTTCCCGTACCGCAATTCAAAATTCGAGTAATTAAAAATAATCAATAAAAGTTGATCAATGATTTGAAACTTTTAATAGAATTTCGAACCATATTAAATCATTCTATCTTAAATCATTTATTTTGAAATATTTTGGAAATTCTGAACTTTTTTTCAAAGCAATCGTACTGCTTTAACTGCATAAAGACGAAATGTCAAAGCGCGTAAGCGCCGCGTCGCCGTCTAACGGATAAACATTGGTACGGAACCCATAGGAATATAAACAAAATTTATACTTATTGTTAAAATCTCTATAAAATATCTAATAATTTGATGTGCATATGTCTAATGATCATTTTTGACCGCCAAATGGCATTTTTTTTTACTTTTTTTACTAGATCTCTGAAACCACTAGACCTGCCTTCATGAAAATTTGATCAATTCTTCATCCTGTCAATACAAGTAAAATGTTTTTTGAATTATTCAAATCGGACGCTCCGTTCTCTTAAAAACTGAGTTACCGTTTTCGGCACTTTTTGCCCCGTATCATCGGAACGGCTAGACCTGCCTTCGCCAAAAACTAATCAGCACGTCTCTTTATCAATACAAATCGAATGTTTTTTGAATTATTTAAATCGCTTTATCCGTGTTAACGAAATCGTCGACAAACACACACATACACATACACACACACACACATACATCCATTTTTTCTAAGGTATGCCAAAATGTTCAGAAGGTTTTGAAACGTAAAGATATATAAAAATTTTCATTTTCGATTTTTTTGCAATTACAGAAACTTACCATACGGGAAGTTAATTAAAAATAATCAAACAGTGTTAATTCTAGCAGGGGATGAAGTGGCGGGTATCAAAAAATTGGCACGTGACCATCCCCTCAATTTTAGCCCTCCAAATAATTCGATATAAAAAATATTATTACTGACAAGTAAATCCTTTTCACAAAATGGCAATGTCTGCAATAAAAGTTCACAACTTTTTTGATACTCTCGATTCTTTTAAAAATTGTAAATTCGGAATTTGTGTGGTCTGAGCATTAGTTCATACTGATGCGAAGTCTCTAAAAAAGATTCTGTAAAATTTTCGAGTAAATCAGTCCAGTAGAAGTTGAGAAACGATACCGTGGGTATCGTATGAAAAATGATAGTTTCGAGAACAATGCGTTTAATGTTTTGAGGAGGAAGGAAACAGGATTGTCGTGGTCGAACAGCTGTATCTCTGAAAATAATTTAAATTTTGAAAAATCCTCTTGTACATATATTCTTGAACAGTTAAACTTAAAAAATATAAAAAAATCGTTTTTTTTTTTCATTTCTAAACAAGAATACACTTAGTTTTAGAAGTTTAAAACCACTATTTATGATGTATAATATATACTATTACCTAAAACAAACTAATTTCAAAATTCAAAAGACATCTATAAATTATAAGAATTTATAAAAAATATATTTTTAATTACATTGTGTGCATAACACATACGATCTAATCATACATACAAATATATGTATATATGTGTATATACTAAATAAATCTATAAACGTATACACATATATGTATATATACATGTGAAAATAATTTAAAATAAATATTAACAACTAAAGCAGACACTTGCACACAAGCAAAAATAGACATGCATATATATGTATGTTTATGAGTATAAACAATTTTGTGTATATTCATATACATACGTATAATATAACTTAATATGTATATAAGTATATACAACAAATACATATTAAAATATACACACTTAGTAAGCTATAACAAAAGCGTGCACACATTTATAAAATTGTAAAAATTAATTTTTATACTTCATAGCTTCATATCACGGTCTTTCATCAAAAATCACCATTGGTACTTAATGACTATAAATCCACAAGTACACTTATTTTTTAAAGTAATTCGGAACAGGATTTTTGTACATGCAAACATTTAACAAGTACGATTTTTTTAAAATTAAGCCATGAAATAAAGACACAAACAATTTTAATTTATTATTTTTCTATCGTAAACTCGTACCCTGACGAACAAGAATCCTGCAATCAAACTGGCGACTATGATGATGAGGAGAAGACTGATCAAACCACTGACGAAGCTCTGGATGGATAAGCAAATATTTTCGGCGTTTTTGCCATAATTCATGGTTTCAATTATTACTGTCTCGTTTTGAGCATTATTTTTAGCATTTAGTGAGAAATCGACGTCGTTGGGGGCAACTACCCTGATGACGCGTTTTGTGGTGACGTCTGTCGTAGGAGAGGCTGAGACGTCGCGCGTTTGGCGGGTGTGGACAACCGATACTGGGATGGTGATGAAGGTTCTGGAAATAGAAAAACAATAGTTAATTTTGTTTAAATACTTTATCTTTTAAAATTATCGTTAGCACTTTTGTATTCTTTGCCTTAACCAAAGACCAAGAAAGGACAAGCGAGATGCCTTTGAGAAGGTTTCTCTGATGAGATACCATCATGGATATTTAAAATTCTGATTACTTTTGATTATTAAAAATGACTTATTATTATCTTTTACCCTTGGTCCAAGCTCCTCCTTTCCCTGGTTTCCACAGACCTCGGTCTTCCGCCCAAAGTGGAAATGTGTTCACTTTCAGGACCACCATTTCCATCAACAGTACTATATGTATTCCTATCGCTGCCTGGTGGTGGTGGTGGAGGCAATGGTGGATGTTGGCGTTTGTTTTCATAATTATTATTCAGAACAGCATCATAATTGTTCTGGTTTTGTTTCTGTTGATTATCATAGTTCAGATTTTCATAATTTTGTTGTTTATTGTTGGAGTTATCGCTATTTGCATTGTAAACTTCATTTACGTTTTCGATGTAATCGCCCTTTTTGCTGATGTTATCTGGTTGTAATAGGACTTTTTCAGGGTGGTTTTCTGAGTATGCTCCGGTAAGAGGATCAGCAACTTCGGCGCCCCCTGCTAATGGGTGACGTGGGTCCACTTGCTGTGGAGGTGGATAGTGGCCTCCAAGGGCTTGTTGTTGGAGCAAGTTGTGGTGCAAGTGGTGTTCTAAAATAAAATATGTTTTAAACAATAATAAAAAAGCCTTATACAATTTTAAATACTGTATAAAATGTAAAAATGTTAGTTCATAATTCTTACCTCCTCCTCCACAATCTGGTTCTGGGCATTTATCTCTGCATACCTATAATAATAAATAAATGAAGAAATAAATAACTTATTTATGTAAAGAAGATGAAATCATAATAATTTAATATAATTATAATTAAATGAAATGCAAATAAATTATCAAAGTTTACCTGGATGACACATTGGAAGTGAACGCTCATTGCATCAGGGAATTTGAAAGCCTAAAAATAAAAATGAAAATAAATTATAATTTTATATAACATAGTTTGACAGTAATAAAATAGTATAAAATATATAATAATATTTCACCTGGAAGTAAGCATAAGATACAACAGTAGCACTTGGACCGAAATCTCTAATTTTTTGGAAACCGCTCATAATTCTTGGTCTGCTCACACAACCTCTGTAATAAATAAAAAAACATTAAACAAACTCGTATCTAATTTATTCCATATCTATTTTATCGTTTTTATAAAATATCGATTACTTTACCTTCGATCAACTAATTGAATTGGTGCCCTGTGTCCATCATGAGCCAAGCAATCACGAACTAACATGTCAAATCGTCTTTCATCGTCCTTAATAGCTAAGACCTAATAACAATAAAGAAAAATAAATGAAAAATTGTAATAATTGCATAAAATTTGGATAGACAATTTTTAATACCACTTACCATTGTCATGGTTTGACCAATTTTAACAATTCCAGATACTTCTGAAGCCCATGGACCTTTTCCGACCTACAAAATAATTGGATAATATGATAACATGAATATATTGCTAAAAAACGATAGCTCCAATGAAATAAATAAATTTAATTATAAAAAAATGATACTCACTTGAATTTGCATCCAGCATTGCAAGTTGTCGCCCAAGAAGTTAGCAGTAACAGCATGTAACATATCAACTGCAAATGAAACGGTTTCATTTAAAGTTTTTGCAATAAAAAATGTAAATGCAGTATGCGTCTACCTATAAATACTTATGGCCTATATCTAGTTCAACACTAATTAATAAAATTAACAGCGAGCATAATGTTCTAGTTTAAAGATAAACTGTTATTTCACATGACGGTCTAGAATTGCATAACATTAAAACTCGTTCTGCTGATAATTTCCTTTCGCATACTGATTTTCCATTATCTAGTATTCCATATAAAAATGCGGGTCTTCATTTTCGATCATTGGTACAAAAACTTTCTAATAATAAAAACTCAAGGCTGAACAACATGTAATACACAAAAATAGATGTAAACGTGTCAGGTAATTTTGATAAAAGGAGGGCAGAAGAAAATGTTGTTTGAACAACTTCTTTTTGCTTTCGTGCATAATGATTTTTGATTGGAGATGCATTTTTTATCGGAGGTTTGTAGAATGCGGCAGATTTGATCTTAAAAAAAAAATGAAATAAATGCTTGATAAATTAATTTTTTTAGATGTTACTCCGCTCCGTCGGTAGCAGGAAACCTATCAATCAAAATTATTTTGTTTTATACACATGCATTCTTGTATCGATACAAAAACTTATATTAGTAAATCTTTGACAAAATAATTGAGGCTAATAATTTGGAGGTGGAATTTGATGCATTAGACTAATAATATAGATGAGTGAAAGTTTTATAATGTGTTTATAATATACTGTAGTAAATGGAAATTACATACCTTGGAAAGGTTTAAATTGGACACTCTTTTCGTAGAAGTCGTACCAGGTACATCTATAAAAAAATAAAAATATATATTAAAGTAAATAAATATACTGCACAATTTACTTATAATTGGAAAACTAAGATTATTCCAAGTCATTTACCTCAATTTTCTGGCTAAATCCCAAACTTCTTGGACAAACGGATCGTATTGAATGATTATCGTGTTTTCCACAAAACTGTTGCTTGGTTTTGCTGGATTTTCGTACAAGTGTGCCTGAAAATTTGGACATGATCATCAATAATCAAACATATAAGAAATACAAATGACGCTGATAAAACCATGATTAATTTAAATAATTAAGATATAATTTATGTATATGATAAAAATTCAATAAGTTTTATATAAATTATTCTCACATCGTGTAAACTTGATCCGGTCATTCCGCATGTGTTTAGATAAATTTCGAAGTTGGCGCTTAGCAATCCGGTTCCTGGTTTTAAGTGCACACATTGTGGGTCACTAAAATGATTTTTCGAGAAGATTGTTCCTGAAATAAATAAATTATGCCAATAAAAGAAGAGAATAAAATTAATGAACCAGATTAAATGTAAAACAGTACGGAATAATGCAGATACTATATTTAATAACACTGTTTATTTAATAATTAATACTTAATTTTAAAATTGAGGTAAGTTAAACGGTCATAAATTAATGTGCAGTATACAAATTGTCTTCACTTGTTCTTATGCAATTTGCTGTTGTCACAAGTATTCATTTAAAAATTATTATATAGAGAAAATAATATAGTTGCTTATGATTTTAAAACAATGAAAACTGAACAATCCAGTTTTACACAATAATCTTTATGTAACGATAACCCAAGCAAGTCCATGAGAAACATGTTAAGAAATATTAAATATAAACGACCGACAATTTAATGTAAAGCATTTCTCTTTAACGCAATGACATAAAATAAAACAATAAACATTAATTGTTCTAAGAAATGAAAGTTTAAGAAATTTTATACGGTGCATAAAGCATTTGTGATATACTTTTGCGTAATGAAAAAACTTTTTACGAATTAGAAAGCTAGCATAAAAAATATTAATATCACATTCCATTGCAATTTTAGTACATTTTGTGTATTACGGAGAAACATTGCTTTCTTTAAACACGTAAGTGAAAATTGTAATTCTTTGGAAACTTGAGATTGTAATTAATTTTACTAGGAGAAATTTACAATGTATGGAAATATTAAGTATTTTAATTATGCACATGAAAGTATTTTCACTACAAGAAAAACCATAAAAATTTAATGTTGGAATTGTCAAAGTATTTTCTTTAAATCAAAATATGAAGTACATTTTTACCTTACCTGGGCAAAAATGATTTTACCAATTTTAATCCATAGCAATGTATTTTTTTTACACACGTGAGTTTGAGTTTTTAATCAGTACCAGTACACAATGTTTAAGATTTGCTTTTATAACAAAAATTATTTAAAATAATATTCACTTACCATAGAACGGTCTGTCGAATTCCACATTGACCCTCATATGCGTTTTTTCACATTGCACTTGTAAATTTTTTATTCTAGGTGCAGGTTCTTCATTATTTAATGCCCATGCATCATCTGAAAATATAAAAAAATACATAGAATATAAAATTAATTTAAAAAAAATAACATTAAAATCATAAAAGATTTTTCTAAATGTGAAATTAATTCTTTTTCCTTATCACCACTTTCAAAAGTTAGTTAAATTAATATATTATAGTATTTGCAAAAATTATCAATTGTGTAAATTTATGATATTTATAAAATTACATGGGTAAAAAATCATAATAGTTTATATTTTAAAATTGGATAATGATATTTAATGAGAAACGGAAGATTTGCTATATAAGTGTTATTTAATGATCATGTGTCGGCTTACTTCAAGTTTTTTCATGACTGAGGTAATTATGTTTAGTAGTAATAATTTTTATAAGTAGGTGCTTAACGTAATTTTATACTATTTATTCGCAATATTAATTTCTAAATTGATTTACCACACAAGGAAAAGTTAAGAATAATAATTTTAATAAAATTAATGTAAATTCTATGATTTGTATCTTACAATTAGTACAACCTGTTAATATAAATGTTAGAACGACTTAGGAATTTATTCTATTAAATTAACTGTATAGATTGCAATTCAATTTGTATTGAAGAAACAAGTCAGAATTTATTAAAGCGATTACAACAACACAAAAACAATTCAAGAAAATCCAAAACACAATATAGACTTTTTAAGCCGATTGAGCTACATTTTGAAGAAAATTTATAAATAAAAGCATTCCTAATCTAGATAGTATTTCCAAATTTTATATTTATTACAAAACAATAAAAAATGTGCAAAAAGCTCACAAGTTCTACAGGTGAGAACATTACAATTAGTAAAAATATTTTTGCCAAAGCAAATGGATTGTAAAATAAATAAAAAATAGAGTCTTTTACTGATGTTATGTCCGATTATTAGCCTTTATTATTTACTGAAAAGGTAATATTATTATTCAGGTTAAAGTTGAAATTTGTTAGGTGAATGCTAAACGTGTAATAAAATATTTAGATATCGGTTATTATTGATATAACGCTAAAATGAGTTGCAATGTACATGTATATATATATATTTGTAAGTGTATGTAATGTTTTTGATTAGGTATGTCTGAATTAACACATGCACGCGAGCAATTATTTGTACAATCTATTTAAACTAACCTGAATTTGGTGGACCGTAAGAGCCTGCAGGCGCCAAATAAGAACCTAGAAATATGTATCACAAATAAATTTATACAAGTAGTGCGTAGATTATAACATTTATGCTCAATCAATGATATAGATTCGAAATTGCAAACAAGAAACACTTTAGAAAATGCGGTCCAATTACGAACCGACATCTTTATGGCGATTTCGTTTAGTCAATCAATACAAAACCGGGTTATGGAGATTATTTAGGTGGGTAAATTATTACTGATTGGGTTAAGTTTGTAGTTATTATGGCGAATAAAATGTTATATTCCTACCAAGCCGTTTTCTTGTAATTAACTGTTCATTAAAAAAATTAAGCCGATATTTATGGAACTTTTTTTGGCGATATATATCATGGTCTTATAGGACTTACTGAAATATTTCGGCCTTACGACAAGTAGTTTAAGTTAAAAAAATCATCAAAGTTTGAGAAAATGAGTAGTTTTTTTGACGTTTGTTAAAATTAAAATGAGACGATTTACTTGGTATAACGATAGAGTACTTGGTCTTAATGAACATACTAAACCATTAAAATCCTACGGAAACTGATTCAATTATAATATAATAATTGATTTGTAAAAATTTGCTTTGAGAAAATACTTTGAGTTAACATGTTTGTTCTTTTACAATGATGTGTAATAAATCCACTCGGAATACTTTTAAAAGATAATTATAATTAAATATAATTATTAAATATATTACTTAAACAAATGTATAAGAATATTTTAAATGCATCTAAATTTATCTTTTGAATTTAAGTCTAGAGTAGACCTAATTGTAGAGAATGATTTAAAAACATATAAAGCCGAATGTAAACCATTAATTAGTTAATGAGTCATTAATTAGGAATAAATAAAATTCACAAATCTAAGAAATTGGTAAAAATGAAATAGGTCACTTTTACAAACATTTTGGTGAAAATTTGTTTACGCAAATATACGAGAATTATCACAAATAATAAATATTCAAAACGAGTATTTCTTAAACAATCGCCTAATTGCTTTTAACTAAAATGTTTTTACACTCAAGAGATACAGTTGCGTATTTGTAGAATGCACTTCTGATTTAAACTAACGAGTTTGTGCTAAATTGACCACAATGAGGTCTTCTAGCAAAAATTTATTTAGTGTTTATTGTGAAATGTTTTGTTCTTGCTTTACACACATTAGTATGGAAACCGCATAAATCGATTTCTAGGGTGATGTGATGAATGGTTATAGGTCGATAACTATTTTACTACGAATAGTAAAGTTCTGACGTGAATCGCAACTTGGACGCATTTCTGAGAGACCAGTCGCAGGGAGAAAATATTAAAAAAAAATAATAAAAATATATACATATGGTTTGTAGTAGATCATGCGATTGTAAAAAATTCTTATGAAAAGTATATATGTATGTATAATTAAATTTGAGTAATAAATATCTTCTAATATTTTTATGAATAAAATACTGTTCATGTTTTTATTACTGAAATTAACGAATAATACGATCTATTATGATATCCAATTTATGTAACACCATTAACTAATTATGTATATCAAATTTCATAAAAAAAATATTAGAAAAATGTGAAAGTAACAAATAAAATATATTATTGATAATGAGGAATATTGATTCATCAACAAGCGCAATAAAAATTTACTACAAAAATAACTTTACTCTCAATATTGATCTCTACAAAATCCTTTCACTATTCTCTTCAACTATTAATCTGCAATTACCCGGCTGCAATTCAAATAGAAATTCATCAAGAATTTCAACAATCGAGTCATCAATTTTAATTGCATCTGTTAAATAATTTTTCTTTACTTTTTTACTATAAAATGTGTATTTGCTCTCCGTCTGATAGTCGTTCTAATATGCCGTAGTCGTTATTTCCGACTTTCCTGAATCGTCGCCTACATCCATAATCTACTTCCATACCAGTCGTACTTTCTCTTCTACATTTTCAATGTTACAATCTATCATATTTTACGTGTTCGATAATTAACATACTTGCAGAAAGATGATTTACTATAAAGTACAAAAATTGAATAGAAAAGTAGACCCATGACATCAGACATCAGAAAATGTTCGAGAAAAAACCGTATTGCACGTGATCGAGTACGAGTTTTATGGAAGAAATGTGTATTGGTTTGTTTACATTCACAACATTCTTGGTAAGAGATAGACCACAGAACAATTTTTTTATTACATCCATATGAAACATCAGCAAATTATTAGTAGGAACTTAGATTGTCTAAATCAAAGCACGTGATTTGACCAATCCAATGATTGCCAATCACAACAATGTATCTTACATTTGGTGGCAGCGGTGGGTATGAATAGAAAAAAGATACTGATTGACGTATAAAATAATACTATTATTATCTGTCATATTTTACGATTTTGATAATTAATACACGCAGAAAGGTAATTTACTGAAAATTCTAAAAAATAGACAAATGGAATGACAAAAAAGAGTCGCAAAATCTAGTTTTAATAGTACTAATCGTATTAATAGTATTATTTTAGGTACATCTAGATTTTGCGACTCTTTTTTGTCATTCCATTTGTCTATTTTTTGGAATTTTCAGTAAATTACCTTTCTGCAAGTATATTAATTATCAAAATTGTAAAATATGACAGATTTATTTAAAATCTCTTATTCACTATTTGGTTTATTACAACATACTTGAGAAAAGACAGACTTGGACTCATTATATAATTATTATTATAAAAAAATGATTATTACATACCTATATCATTTACAGATCCTAGTGAACCTTGTGGTGCTAAATATGGACCTGAAATGAACAAATTAAATTAAATTAATTTGAATATTACCATATACGATTTGAAATAAAAATTAGCATATGATAATAATCATTTATTATTACAATACCATATGATATTTGCATATTAAAAATATAGTATGTAATAAAGTGTACTATTGAAAAAAAGTGGCATCACAAAACTCAATCCATTTTTGTTACGTATTTTGATTTCTAGAGATTTTTTCAGGTTTGAGACGTTTCAGATAATTTTTGAATATTAGAAAAAATGATCTTAAACAATATCTTTACTAATTTATTAAGTAGTAATTTAAAGTAATAATTCAAATGGGATTTCTTACCTAAGTGACCCCTATGTTCTAATGGCAAACTAGAAGCATCTTCACCTAATACTATCTGAAATATTAAATAGATTATTAGTAAAAAAAATCAAGACTTATTTGGCTATGAATATATATATATATATATATATATATATATATATATATATTTATATATATATATATATATATATATATATAAATTTATAAAAACAGAAGTATACTCTATTATAATTTATACGCTTATTACTAGAGATACCATCAACAATATGTAAAAAATGTTTAGATCGATTAATAGATTCAAATAGTTTATTAATTCCAAACGAACAAAAAATGCATATAAACGAATATATATATATATATATATATATATATATATATATATATATATTTGTACTAGATTCTGTGATAGTGACCTTGTTCATGATTTAGAAAGTTTATTCATGTATTTTTACAACTACTGATTTATATATATATATATATATATATATATATAAATCGATATCGATATTTTGAAACATAATTCAAAAAGTGCAATATAAAAATTTAAATAAAAATTTAAAAATTAAAACTGTTAAAAAAGCAGTATTTCAAGTTTTGTTCCAATGCCTATGTATATTTAATTTATTTATTTCAAATTATTGCTTTGTAATAATGTTTAAGGATTATATTTAAAGTTTAAATCTATACTTTTGAATTCAATATAGTAATTTTCATTTCCATTGTTTTTATTATATAGATAAAAATATATTGATAAATTCTTTTATCTTACCTTAACGACTAAAATGGTAATATGCAGTATAATTGTCCATCGTATCGCCATTTTTCTGTAATAAAAAAAAAACAAATTAATAAATTTTAATATTATATTTTTACTGTAATATATTTTACGTAACATAACTATTTTATATAAAATTTTCATGTAGTCATGTATAATAAGATACTAGGAAGATACTTCTTAATAATATTGGTTTTCAGAAGACAACCCAAAGGCTGGCTCAATATTTAAACTATGCTTATATATCAAAACGTGGAATTATTATTGCATTTAATAATACAATAGTTAATTTAACACGTTAATCGTCAGGTCAATTTAAAAAAAAATGCATTGACACATTGAGTTTCCTTTATACATTTTTATTTAAATTATCTAATGATGTTATCTTGACCCATGTGAAAACTTTTATGATATTATCGTGGCAATCAACGTGTTAATAATTTGACACGACTATAAAAACTTTGTAATATATTTTCTCACACTACTTGGAAAATCTTAACAGAATCAATTTTGAGGAAACAAGATTCGAAAGCAATGTCGAAGAGGAAAAGTTCTGACTATTAATAAATGAGTCTAGAATTGAAAAAATAATTTTATTTCTAAAGCAATTTAATTTTTTTCAATTAATTTAATTTAATAATAAATCAATTATTTAATAATAAACAAATGAAGTAAATGCTATGGATAACTTTAACATTTTATTAAATTTTACTTAGCAATTTCAACTTTTTTGCTCAATTTATGTTCTTATCCAGGTGCACAACTCAATTATTGCACACATGCAATGTGAAAGTGAATTTAAAATTTGTGAGGGCAAAGATAAACCGCAAAATAACAAAAATATATTCCATCGTTTTGGTACCGTTATAATGCAAAATTAACGTTCCCTGTTCCTAAAATTAGGGAGTCATACCGACATATGCCAAAATAAAGGACACATGTATAAATACATATATAATTTTATATGTATCTATATACGTACATATATTTTTATGTGTGTGTGTATAAATGTGCAAGAAGCAAATACTCTAGAAAATTGTATTCTTTTTATAATAAGACTGCATCGAGACAATGTGCTATTGTTACACTTGTACACGAAAAGGTTATTATATATAATTGTGCTTCACAATGTATAAAGGGGAAAGTTTGGTACATCAAGGCACATACACACACACAGATATATATATATATATATATATATATAATATAAACTTATAAATTATCTGTATAAATGTACATAAATTATTTACAAATACGTCTGTTTCAGCAGCATTCTTATAAAATCATTATAAGTTTGTTTAGAACAATTATCTTAAACTATTAGACAGTGATAGTAGTATATAGTCGTTGACCGCGGTTCATCAGAAATTTTGCCGAAAAAACCATAGCTCGGAAGTGAATTGCGAGCCAACAAATTTTATTTTTCTCAGTAAATATCAAATTATCTAACAATCAAAATTACTCGTCTGGGAGTTTGATAAAACATCCCAGTCAAAATAAACAATTTAATATATGATTGACCCCTAAGATATAGTTCAATTATAATAATTAATTATAAGTAATAATTATATTATAATTATTTATAAGTAATGTATTAATAACATGACTCGCGGTCTACGTATAACTACATTTACCATCACATTTTCAGCACTTTCCTTCGAGGAAGTATAGATATTATATATTTGAAATGGAGAAACAACTTGAATGAAAATTTTGCTAATTTACAATTCACTTACGAGATAAAGTTGAGGTTTTTTCAGTATGTCGTCTATGGACGACATCCGTACACGGATTACGTCATGCGGATGTCGTCCCGGGACATCCATGAGAGATGAACATATGCGTTTGTTTTGTAAAATATGTTGAATGAATAAATACAATTATCTAAGCCCAAATGATTTTAATAAGAAATTAAGTTAGTTTTGATATTTAATTGACTTAAATACAAAATTCAACTTTTTTAATATGAAAATTTTATAGATTCTAAGAAAATACATATTTTTAAATCAATTTATATATATATATATATATATATATATATATATATATACCAGTGTGTATACATTCAAGCGTATATTTGTGAAAGTATGTCATGGTCGAACAAGTACATAGGTATATATATGTTAGTGGGTTAATGCACTCTCTCACATATACCAAGATCAGAAAGACGATGATCTATACGGAAGAAATTTATATATATATATATATATATATATATATATATATATATAATAACAGGTAAACATATCTATACATGTATAAGACAAAATTAATATTATTAAACACAATCCCTCCCCATAAGTAGACTCATATGAATGATCAATTTATATTTATTTAATATTATAATAAATGTTTATTTTGATTTGTTTTTCAATTTTAAGATAATTGTCAAAAAAAATCATGTTATATAAATATTTATCAAATTTCAAAATCTCTGATCAAAACGATCAGAAGATTTCGTATTTTTGAAGTCATATTTTAATCCTGCAGTTTTACTTGTTAGGACAGATGTAAAATGTACTTTATGATAAAAAAAGCTCATCGATAGTAAGACCCTTAAATCAATTTTATTGCAAAAAAATATTTTGTTATAATAGTGAATAATTAATAATATTAGTAACTATTATTTAGAAATGTAAAATAAAAATGAATACTTTTTGCCCAATTTTAGTTCAGATCAAAAATTTATGAATTTTAGTTATAAGTTTGTAACAATGTAAAAATAATTATTATACGAGTAAGCAAATATTTGTGCATGATGGGGTTAAACAATTTATGTCGATTTTTATCTTTTACTTCATTTTATTATTTTCCTTGAGTTCCTTAATTGTTGTTATTTATTACGTATATTGTATACTTTATTTGATTGTTCTTTTTATTACTTAAGCAAGCAATTATGTATTGTAAGACTTTATAAGTCTTAACCTAAAGATTTTTTATTAATTGCTATTGCTTGGGTGGAGCGACTATGGCGGATGCTGAGCACGCCATTATAAGGTGCAAAAAATGGGTAAAGGGTAGGTAAGAACTATGGAGGGAGATAGTAAGGCAAAAAATCTCCCTCCCAACCAATTTTGTAATATTATTGACAAAGAAAAATATATGTGGTGCACTATACAATTATATACAATCAAATAAAATAAAAGTGTAAAGATAACGAAAGGTTCAGGTTCCCTTAGAACCCTAAGTTTGATAATTAAATTAAAAAAATGAATATTTAGGTATATAAATTAGGAATTATTAGGCTCGTATGGACTTAGATTATGATGTTGATTTCCCAATACCCTAAGATACCAAGTTGCATCTACATTAATAAGTAATAATTTTTAAGTATCTATGCTTATAATATCGCAGTTACACCATAAAAAATTTCTTCTAACAAATTTTTGTACGCCAAGTTATTTTTCTAATTACATTTTATATCAATATCTTTAAATGCCTCCATATAATACAGACGAGTGTACTTTGCGGTCTATTTCTTACTATTTATCGCTCTAGTAAAGTCAAAATTGAATGAACATAAAACACATAAAACATTCGAAGCGTACAAATTAATTAATAAAAACTAGCATACATATCTATCTATATATGCAATATAGGAATATCTGTTCATATAGAAAAACATGTATAGACATATTAATTAAAAAATACTGTTAGATGTACAGCTATATACATAGACGTGCCTAAACTTATACAAATATATTTGTACACCTGAATTTAAATTTGAAGATCAGTTGGTCAAGATTTTTAACATTTCATTGACGTTTGGACGAATTCGTAGACATAGAAATTTTTGTATATTTTTGAATGGTGGCATACAAAGCATTAACATATATCGGTATAAATATAAATATTTTTATATATATATATAAATTTTTATATGGAGATATATAATTAAAAACAGAAATGTTTTTAACAGATCTTCATCCAGTTCCTAAGACGTTACTTAGTTAGAAATAGAATGTTTATTAAGTTTCTTGAAGGATAATTCAGTTTAAGAATTAGGAAATTTATTAAAATTATTGAAGGATTATTCAGTTTAATTTCTAATAGATATTATATATTATTCATTATATTTTTAATGCAAGATATATAATTAAAATTCATTACAGAAAGCCATCCAGTTTTTTAAACGTCATTTTGTCATAAAGTTTAAGAATTATTTTTATTTATTTAAAAATAATTTAGTTTCATTTTCTATTCAACAGATTAAATATCTATGTATTTATATAATACAAAAATATAATTAAATTAAGAAAGTTTTCTTAACAGGCATTCACCAAGTTCTTAAAAAGTTATTTTGTCAGGAGGTTTAAGAATCTGAACGTTACAACTTGAAATTAATCTAGTTTTTTTTAATAAAATATTATAATAAAACTAAACTATTTACTAAACAAATGATTATAATAAAACATACCATTATTTTAACCTTAAAATGAATGATTTTTAGGTTAGAATAGCACGTGAGTTGAAACTAAACTAATAGTCAAAATTCGTAATTTTAATTATATAAATAAAACAAAAACTAGTAGAAAATTCTCAAGATATATAAGTTTAAATAAGATAGTTCAGGCATAGCACCAATTCAAAACTGAGTAATTAAAAATTATAGGTTAATTAGAACCATACGTTTCGGTCTAATCAAGATCATCATATATGAAATATAATAAACATATAATTCATTTTGGTATATATATATATATATATATAAGTATATATATATATATATTTATATACATATATATACATATATATTTATATATATACAATATATACACTGATAAATTTGCATTTAATAATAATATTTTAAGAAAATTAAATTTAACTCTAACATCACTTTACATAACTAATCATGTTCGTTTGCTAAGCTTAATTTAATTTTTTTTTTATTATAAATAAATGACTTTTTGAAATATAACCGTTAATCAAGTCTTTGAAAGATTTAACTAATTACATGTGATTTTAAAGAAATTATTACATCTACTGAAGAAGTATCAAATTTTGACTCAAAACGTATGCAACATATTAAAAAAATTCAAAACACAACTT